GCTTATGGGAGAGCTGACTGGCTTTCGGGCGGGTGACTGCCACACCGAGTAAATTACCAGCGCACTGACTGCCAAACCGGGTGGGCACAAAAGTATATATATATATCTCTATATATAGATATATAAAAATTTGAACGAATGGTGTTTTTGGCCTCTGGGGACATCAAAATGAAAAAGTAAATCGGTCCCGGGCCTAGGTCTTACCATGAGACCTACGGTAATAGCTACTTCCCTATAGGGAAATTCGCTAATAAAAAAAGTTTCAAAAAACGGAACAAAAAATTTTAAAAGGGCTTTTCCTGAGAAGGTCGCCATCTTGACTCTGTGTGGTTAGAATAATTGTTTCACGTATAGTTTATGTTTCCACATGAAGTTAAGTTTACAAAAAGGTAAGCGTGATTTTATTACAATCCAGACCGTCCTGTAAGTTTTTTTTAGTACATATTATCAACGGTAATACATCACTTTCAAGTAAAATCCTCGCAACCGGCGTTTTCCTTGAGGTTAGCGATAGTTTTGATAAAAAACGATGTTTCAATCTCAGGCCGTCCCTTAAGAATCAAACCTTGTTAGGGACGGCCTGGAATGAATTAGTAATAATACACTTTTTTCATTTAAAACATATATTTTGTTTATCATTTTACCTATAATTAAAGCTCAAAACTAAAAATTATGCTCATCCTTCATATTTATACTCCAAATTGATCATGTTTCCAGGCCGTCCCCTTCAATTCCTGACCGTCCCCCTAACAATTATCAAAAATTTTAAAATTTTAAAGCAGCTTAGGTACGAAACACATTTTTTTAAATATTGTACTGCATGTAGGGATACTAATAAAATTGAATTATATAACTTTTTCCTTAGGTATTACTTCAAATTGACAAAAAAATATAAGTTTTTATCAATTTTAGCTGGGCCACAGTCTCAGTGGGCTGGTACATTTAGTTTTACTTTATATTTTATAATTTTAAAGTTGATACAATTTCAAACTGGACCAAAAGTAGTATTTAAAATGTTTTAGGGAGAGAATATCCTTAAAATAGTATCTTGGGAGCAACTAAGTTAGCTGGGGACGGCCTGGAATAATTTGTGTGCGTTTCTTTCCTTATTTATTTTTTTAGCTTATCCATCAACATGTCCTGCACTGCTCATGTTATTTTGTAAAAGTATGGTTAATGACCTTTCCAAAAATTTGTATAAAGCCATAGTTAGATAAAAAATATTTTCTGATTTTTTATTTCTCAAAATGTTGCATTATGTGATATCCGGTCAGAGCCTGTGTAGAGCTTAAAAACAATTTAGTACATTGAACCATTGTTGTAGGCTACTATTAAAGGTTTTGGGAAAAATTACACAAAACTGTAAATTAAATATTCCCACGCTATTCTTATAGAGATAAAAAGAAGAATGATTCGTTTGTTTGTTTATGGAATATCTTCATAAAATTTGGCAAATTTATTTATTTAGACCAATTGCCTAAATATTCTATATGATAAAACACTCTTTTAGCGAATTTCCCTTTAGGTATTTATTAGGTGAACTTGAATGATTAGCGAACCAGCCTGGTCGGACCATGGGAACATGGTATTATGGGTTGAAAATGGGGGTTTCTTTTTTTGACCCTGAAAACATAGCATTTTCAAATTTTTGTTTTAACCATTTTGAAGATCTTAAAAACCAATTAATTTGGTATACAGTAGACTCCCTCTTATTCGGACACCTTTTAACCGGACATTGGTTTAACCGGACTAGATCGGCAGGATGTGGGTGGTACTGAAATGACTGTTCTCGTGGAAAAGATTTGAGACCAGTGATCACTTGTCTAAATACAATGCTCTCCTAAATTGAAGTCAAATACTGTATACAGTATGCATTTAAACGGTCCGTTTTAACGAGTCTTTGGGGACGTCGGTTTAACCGGAAAACCCGTTATCCGGACTGGCCTTGGTTCCGAGGAGTCTGAATAAGAGGGAGTCTACTGTATTGAAGTGTTATTGTACGGTTATTGGTTACAGATAAATTCAAAAAAATTAAAATTTTAAATTCCCTTGTTATTTTGATGGAGAATAAGTTTAGTAAACTGTTGTAGTTTGCTTGTTTCTGGATATACGTTGACCAAACTTGGCAAATGTATTTATTTTTAACTAAGCTATTAATATTTTACAAAAAAAAAACACACATTATTGTGTTTATACCTCCAAACTTAGGTACTCGTTAAACTTAATGATACCTATTTAAATAGATCTAATAAATCCAATCTGGCAAATTCCAATTATCTTATTGTGATGTAATTTTCCTGCCGTGGGGAGGGGATATTTTTCCTTCCCCGTACATCAATCTTAATTAGGTAACTTACTTGTTAAATGTAATGTTGTTTAAATGTGGATAAAAATGTGACTTGATTAAGGAAATATTTTTGTAGCTTAGTCTTCAAGTTTGCTGGAGTGAAGGTATTTTCTTTTTAGTTAATAATTCGTTCAAACTTAATTTCTTTATATAAATAAAAACAAAAAAAATCATTAAACTGCATAGTTTAGTCAAATCAAATTAAACGATAAATTAATTTTTTAGGGTATCAAAACAAACCTCAAGCAAAATTACGAGGGCTGTCTATAAATTAAGGTCTCTCTCGATCAAGCTCCGGTCTCGGCATAGCTAACTATTAGCTCAAATTTGATACCTATCAAAAAGTATAAAATTGTGTTGTGTGATTAGATTACTATGAGAAGGGTGCCTTGAAATCTGTTACCATTTGGCAGACGTCTATGCGTCAGGGGTGGACCCAGAGACGAAGTTTGGGGGGGGGGGGAACTTCCAGGGGGTCTGGAAACCCCCAATGAAGGGGGGGGGGCACGGGCAGGGCCGTATTAAGAATCTATGAGGCCCCCGGCAGCTTACACCAGAGAGGCCTCTCTCTATATTCTGATTCTTCAAAGGTTAGAATTTAAGGGTTTAGAAAATACACGTGGTATTGCTTCAACTATATGAATTGACCTTTTGTTTCCAACAATCTTATCGAAAAAAGACCTAGGAGACTAGGTAATAAATAAGTCTTATTAATTTCTTGCGTGAGCGCTGAGATGTCATCTTAGTCTCCTCCAATTTTGTCAGAATCATGAACGACCCATGTGGCCCCGTATAAATGGTGAACATCTTTTGGGAGCACTGAGACGTTATCTATGTCTCCTCCGATCGTGGTGGAATCATGAACGACTCATTTGGACGCGGGGAAATGCTGAACATCTTGTGCGGCCGTGTAGGCATAATTATCGTCTCCCACAGTCACGAAATGTGATCGTCGTCCTGCGCGATAGTGGAAATATCATGATCAACTCTCGCGGCTGTGTATACATCATCATAGTCTCCCGCGGTCACGAAATGTGATCGTCGTCCTGGGCGATAGTGGCAATATCATGAACAACTCTCGCGGCCGTGTAGACATCATCATACTCTCCCGCGGTCACAAAATGTTTCTGTCGTCCTGCGCGATAGCGGAAAAATCATGATCAACTCCCGTGGCCGTGTAGACATCATCATCGTCTCCCGCGGTCATGAAATATGATCTTCGTCTCGCGCGATAGTGGCAAAATCATGAACAACTCTCGCGGCCGTGTGGAGATCATCTCTACCGTGGTCTCGAAAACATGATCATTGTTTTTAACGTCTTCAACTGGGTCTGTGACAAAAATCTAAAACATCTTGGTTCCAAGACCAAGCTTGACCCAACGATTATTTAAAATTATTTTTATTATTTGTGAAGATATAAACATATTTAAACCCAAAATGAAAATCCATTTGTAAAAAAAATCACTCACTTCACTATGAAAATATCATTTAACAGTTATTTTAATTATTTACTATATGTTTATATTGCATTATGGGCGTTCCAAATGGATTATAAAAAGGGTAATGAATATGACAATTTTGGGAATACGAATAATATAGTTCCAGAGGTAATTAAATGTACTGGTAATTAAATGTATTAAAGGTACTTAAATGTTTACTGGATTAGCAAAACTATATTGATTATATATGTACCACCTCTGTATAATCAATGGTAACACTGACTTACTACTGTATCTGACAGCGGGAAACTGCAACTACAGTCGTCGTCGGTCAAGTCAAGATTGTAGGTTAGGTTGTTAAACTTTTCACGCAGCCTCTAGTTTTAGCTTTAGATTTTGAAATAATATATATGTGTATTATATTATTGAAGCAGGACATATGCCCAGTCTGCCCGTTTATAAAAGCGGGCCTGCTCCCATTAGCTTGTTAACAACTTTATCATGGCTAAGCCATGAGAGTAACTAGGATATTAAATAGGTAAAATCATAAAAGTTGCATTAACTTTTGAACCACCATATTTTTTTTTGGAACGAGGGGGGGGTTGCACTATTTTGTTTCAATTTTTTTCTTTTTTCATGGGTTTTATAGGAAAATAACATAAGTTACAATAACTTATGAACCATAATTTTGACAGGAATAGGAGTTCTACAATTTTTTTTTCAGCATGTAAAGGGCTACAACATACTAAATTTTTATCATAATCGTTCAGGCCATTTAAAAAAAATTTAGATTTTTAAGTTTTTTATGGGTTTTATGGAAAAATCACCATTAAAAATTAAAATAAAAAAAATAAAAAATACCTGGAGGCACGAAGAGACCTACATACCAAATTTCATCAAAATCGGACCACAGGTCTGTAGCTCTGTACACATCCACACATATAGACAGACATCACTTTGAAAACTATTTTTTGGGGTTCAGGGGGACCCAAAATGGATATCCACTAAAAACCCAAACTCGAAAATGTTGACGAAAACAATACTTTCTCCATATACTATGTGGGGAGAAAGTAAAAGCTGTAGACCTGACTTTAAATTTTAATTAAATTTAGCTATCTTTTGTTATCAGGTAGACCTTATTATCTGAAAATTGACAGCAAGTAATCATTCAATTAGTTCTTGTTTATTAATTTAACCTTGTAACCTTGTTTCAGGTGAATGCGTGGGAGGAACACTCAGAGATGTGTTCAGGTTGAAGATCCTCGGCTGACCAATGATGTGCCAAACGATCTCACCCCCCTTTCCTTCCTTCAACCTTTGTAAATTATTGTTACCAGACCCAGTTCCCTGACCATATTGATAAACAGTCTGTGTATTTGTAAGTTATAGTATTGAACACCGGTATTGTTAACTAGTTAGAGTCAGTACCAGCTTTATTTATTGTAATAAAGCCTATATTTAAGCTGAATGTTCTTCAATTGTCCAATTGTAATCCCTATCCCATGTAGGAAAAAATGTTCTGGTCCAGGTCCTGACTCCTGAGCACTTCCAAATTTGGATATTCTGCATTTGGCAGAATTCTGGACCATACAGTTAATACAGAATTAATAAGACACCTTTAGCAATAAACGATTTATTCAAAAAATTCAAGAGTTGAGCTGCCTCGACTAACTCACCAGTGTCAAAGGTTGTAGTATGATTGGGATGATTCCACTTATTAAAGTCTTACCTTAACTTGGTAGTATTGGCCAAATCATGGCCGGAAGTGGGTTAAAAGAATTGCTTTGTACAATATATGCCCCAAACTCTATTGACAAAATGCTATCAGGTCATGCATGCCCGATCTATTCGAGCGCACAAATTAGTTCATCGGAGCTTAGCGAACATTGTAATTGATAAGATGAGTATTCCCGATCATAAGAAAGTAGTTTTAATAAACCTTTTGATAGATTTTCCCATCAATCCATCACCTAGCTGTTAAAAAGATTTCCCAAAATAAATGAAAGCAAAGAGCTCTCATCTAGTTTCAACCATTAGTTGGACAAGCTGAGTTGCAATGGTCCAGCAGCAGAACTTTGGTTACAGTACTTTAAGCTGGTTACACTGATGGGAGAGATCAGGGAACTGAAATAACCACCTTAGTTGTGTATCACAAATGATTCCTATTTTTCATGCCAGTGGTCACACACTATACGCCATATCAAGTTACTTGTACCTTAAAGATATGACAATAATTGTGTCATCAGTTAAGCCGAAGGAAGAATTCGATAAATTTGCAAAGGTGGGATTTTTTACAACTAGAAGGACCAATGAATTCTGGTCTGGAGTTTGGTCAGGCATATTGATTGAACAAACTTTTATAAGAAGCATGAAATCTGTTGGTAGCTTAAGGGTGCGCTCTACCTGTCCGCCATGCGCTAATGCAAGGGTTTCGGATCTTCCTCACTGTAGGCTTAGTTCTTAACTGATAGAAAATATGTTAATGTTAATTTATTCATTTATTATTTTTGGAGGCTTGTATCGTTTTAATTTTTTGGTAATCGTAGAATTTTAAGTGGGAAATGACTAGTAAATACTTCTAAATAAGATTTTTTCTATATCATTTTTTACACATATAAATTGATTTTTAGAAGAAAATTAATTAAAATGGTAGGGTCATAAATTTGAATCTAAGGAGTAAGGGATATCCTTCAGATGAGAAATTTTAAGTTTTAACTGATTAATTAGAGAGGACTTAAACTTCTGCAAGCGCTTCTCGGTGCTGTTCAATGGCACAACATAGCTACTGAAGCCCGAGCTAAGGTATAGCGTACCCTTAAGGGGAGTTGCTACTAAAAATGACCAATTTTGTAAAAAACATTATTTAGATTTTTTTGTTCTATGGCGTATTAAGGTTTCAGAAAACATGAACATATGATATTTTATACAGGGTGTCCCGTAACTCTCTGGACACATGTATATAGCGTTATTACTTAGGTCAAGACAAACATATTTCACCATAGGAACATGGGTCTGTGGTGTCTAGTTTACCAACTGTCGGCATTTATGTGTTTTTTACAAAAACATTAATAACTCCTAAACGGTTTGAGATACAGCGTTGAGATTTTGCAGAAATGTTAATCTTTTTAAGGCTTATCTTTGTTTAAAATTATACAAAAAAATCATTAAACGTTTCAAAATGGCAGCCATTTAAAATATTTGATGCAAATTTCGCAAAAACCGTTAACTTAGCAAAAAAGTTGCAAAGAGATAAAATAAGTTAGTAAATTTTATGTAGTTTTCAGTGATACCTTATTATTTGTTAAGAATGGATAAATAATAACAGAGAAATGTCTTCTTTTCCAAATGCACGACCACTTTTCTCCATTTAAACAATGCTAATACTCCTTATACGTTGTTTACCATTGTTTAAATGGAGAAAGATTGTCATGCATTTCGCAAGGCCATAGCCAGGACAAACTTTCGGGGGGGGGGGGGGGGGGGGGGGTCAGGTCAGGTTAGTGGCGGATGTAGGACCTTGTCAATGGGGGCTCCCGGGGGGCTTGGGGACAGGGCCGGTTCTAGGAATTTTTCAGAGTTAAGCGAACACCCGAATCAGCGCCACCTAGAAATCCCCCCCACCCCACCCAATAGGAACATAACTTAACCCTATTTGTGAAATGTTGGGAAGAACTTTTTTATAAGTTTAGGTTAGAAGAATACTTGCAATAAAATACTTTTTCCTACAGTCACCCGACAAAGTTGGCTTCCCTGTACTGTTTATAGTACAGAAAGCTGCTAATTGCTGCATATTTATACTTTGCCGTACGGTTTATACTTTGCCGCACGGTTTATACTTTGCCGCACGGTTTATACTTTGCCGCACATCAGGATTCCAACCAAACAACACAAAACAGCGTGGTTTTATTATGCACGTAATCCGTATACGCTTGGAAATAGGTTGGCAACACTTAAAGATAATAATACTATGAACAGCTGATTGACTATTATAACTACGATTTAACCTGTCATTTCGTGTTTATAGTTTTGGTATTTCTGAACTTTCTGGACTTTTCTTTTAAACGTTTTTAAAACATTCCTACGGTCCTAATAAACAAGAAAATACCTTTAAAGCATTTTTTTTAGGCGCGGAAACCACTTCAAATTACAAAAACATACGGAACTATATTCTCAAAAGACGGAGCACATTTCTTGCCGAGGAAAAATAGCGGAGTGATACGGACCACGCGTACTACTTTCTCCAGGGCACCATTTGTGTAATTGTGTTGCTAGCTGAACCTAAAAACGTGTTGTATAGTGTTTGAAAGACTAATTATTTATGTTTTATAGTGACTGTAGGAAAAATATAATGTGTAACACGAGTGAAAAAGGCCTTTGCTGCACTCGAGATCATTCCGCACTCGCCTGCGGCTCGTGCGTAAACATTGCTCTCGTGTGCAGCAAAGTGCCACTTTCACCCCTAGTTACACAAATAACTATTTCACCACACTATGATGTTTTTAGCTGTTTTACATACGTTAATTGGTGGCTGAAAGTTACGTTTTGCTGGCCATGCCAGCTGTCATCGTCATTTGGGGACCGAGCAGGTTTTTAAATCCCTAGGGCCGCAAAATCAGCTGCCCGCATATTAAATACACAATCTGTATGCATAGCATTGCAATAGAATTGTTTTATTGTCACCCCTGCCTCAACTATTTAATATTATTTTTGCTGATTCCTCAAATTATTTCTTCACATAACCTTACTGTTCTGTTAATACTGTTCTGTTGTACTGTTAATACTGTTCTATGAAATGGCGACCATACAAAGTAGGTATTTTAAGCCAAGTATGAATGGAGATGAGTGTAGGATGAGTGGCGCGATCTTGTAGTCTTGTTAGTGACTAAGGCCGACATTCCTTAGACACAGCTGTTAATTAATAGCCCATACAGCTAATGGCAACTATGGGACCTACAGTTTATAGTGGAATCCGAACCACATTTTTGCCTTGGTAATTACGAATTGGTCTAATTATCAGGATAGTACTGCGGATATTCGTAGTACTCACTAGTGCGGACGTTAATCCACACTGGGGAGTATCGCATCCACAGTGCATGCCTATAAATATCCACAATTCGTTACCTCCTAGTAGCTGGATTACAGGACGACGCCACCCGTCCCAGTCAGTTGTAGTTGAGTTGACTATCAGTGTGCATTATTATTGCGGTGAATAGTGGTCATAGGGTATATGTGGGGTAAAATGTGGTGAAAATTTTCAACTACTGTTTATTATTCACAGAAATTTAAAATTTTTACACTTTTACTCATCACACTTTAGCAAAACCCTAAGATAATAATTTATTTCTAAATGTGAAACCAATTTGTACAGGATAACTTGGATACCATATAAGTTTTTATAAAGCCTATTACAATGAAAAACAGTAACGGTATACAACTAAGAGAGCAAAACAACGTACAGTACTGCTCTGCTCTAGGAGGGGTGAGTGATCAGGGGAAGAAGGGAGGGGGAAGTTTCTTATTGTGACATGTGGCGCTGCGCGCTTATCTCGAGCATCAGTCATAAAATGAAACCCACATGCGCCGCGCTGTACGCTGCCGAGTGTCAGCTCACTACAAATTGAAACTGCAAATCAATGCCTTGATTCCTTGAGTTGAAGTGCTGTACAATTATACACATTTTTCAAGTGCTGTTGGTACAAACAGAATAAATGCCTTTGGTGTGGTGCTTTGTATATTTGAACTCTCAGCGAAAAAAAAACAAAATTAAGTTTTTCACTTGTCAGTAAAGTTGTTTTCAATTTTGACTTCTGAAAAAAAATTGTGTCCCACTGGAGCCACTTTTTTGTGGCGCCATATGCAACCACGTAGTTCACGTATGGGTTAAACCGGCCCTGCTTGGGGGGTGTCATGAGAAGGGGTCTGGGGAAATTATTTATATATTTTTTTAGTAGTTTAGTGACTTTCCAACGCAATTTTTAACGCCTATAACTGTCTCAAATTAAAAAAAAAACTCCCATTTAACCTGTTGTTTGTCATAAGCAAGTAGATATTTACAAATTATGACAAATTATAACAAACTATGACGATTGCATTCATAAATTTGTTACCATACTCTAGGCTACGGCCATATCCTCCTAAACACCGATTGGTACTTTCTTCAGCCCCTTGAAGCCCCCTCCCCTTGGAACCACCAGTGGGTCAGGTCATGACTTTGGATATCAGATTTAAGCACTTTCATTCAAACACCAATTCCCATGCTTATTTTTAAAATGTTGATATAGTTACATATGTAAATATATAAACGCCAAAAAATATTTGAAGTGTTACTGTTGTGAGTTTTAAATAAGTTCCCCCCATATTTTTTTCTACATTTCTTAAGATATCTACTCCGGACCACGTCAGATCATTCTAAAGTAGTAAGTACTTCATTTTGACTGGGTATACATTTTTGGCTGCCTTCTTGGATCC